CCCCCCCCTTCTTCGTGGGTGCTGCTCCCCATGGGGGGTCGTACCCCTTCTTTCCCGGTGGGTGCTGCCCCCCGTGGGCACCAGTCCCGCGTGGGGCTGCTGCAGGAGGCGCCCTCGCTCCCCTTCATGCTGCTGCAGCAGTTAGCTGCACATCACCGGTTACCCCCCCCGACGTGTGTGTTGGGGGGTGCGGGGGTGTCAATGCCCACGCGTGGCCGGGGCTGCCCCTCCCGCTCTCCCTCTCCCGCAGGGAAGCACCTGGTCCTGCTGCGGGACGGCCGGACGCTCATCGGGTACCTGCGCAGCATCGACCAGTTCGGTACGTCGGCACCGGGGGGGCTACTGGGGGCTCCAGCCGGGCTCTGGACACGCTCCGGTGCCAACCGTGTGCAGGGGCTGGTGGGGAGGAAGAGGAGGAGAAGGAGAGCCCCGTCGTGCCCTTCGCGTGAGCCAGGTGATGCTCCTGCGTCTGTCAGGGCCGCACTCACCGGAGCGGCTGCCTTCCCAAATGGTGGTGTAACGGTAAAGAGAGTTTGGATTTGGTGAGAGTTCCCCGTTTCGTGGTCCCTGCTGGGCTGCACCGACCGCCTGCGGTAACGAGTCCACCACATGCCCATCCTGAGCTCATTTCCTTGGCTAAAACCAACACGAGTTTTAAAAGCAAGCAGTTTAGTTGTGTGTGGAGGAACATGATTGCAGGTTGTGTTTTTAGAGTGTGTTTGTGGATTAACACCTGCCCGTGTGTCCTGCCAGACTTGGTGCTTCATGGAGACTTCTCCAGAACTTGGGTGCTTCCCCCTCCCTGATTGTGTCCAGCACTGATGCTCTGGTGTCTTTTTTTTTGGGTAGAAATAGCCCAGGACATGCGTGAGTGGTGTTTGTGCTCATGACGGAGTGCCTTGGTCCTTGCCCAGTGATGCCGTTGTCTTCTCTGCTGTCATTGGGACGTTGTCCTTGGTTGGGCTCGGGCCCCGCTGGTCTGAGCTCGCTGCCCTGCTTGCTGCGGGGACACAGAGGCTGCCTCGCAGCGCGGGAGCTGGCCCTGCTGCTCCTCAGGCGCTGCATCGGTCCCGTTTCAGCCGGGGAGGTGGTCAGTGCCTTCGGTGATTTGGCTCAGAGGACCCACCGAGAGGTGTGAGAGCGCCGGTGCCATCACTGCTCTGGGTTTTTTGCCCGGCTGACAGGATGAGACACTTTATAGCTGGGAAACACAGCGAAATGTGGATTATTTTCTCTCTCTTATGATCACTGCAGCAAACTTGGTGTTGCACCAGACTGTGGAGCGCATCCACGTGGGCAAGAAGTATGGGGACATCCCTCGAGGCATCTTTGTTGTGAGAGGCGAGAACGTTGTTCTGCTGGGGGAAATAGTAAGTAAGCGGCTCCCTCTGCCTGCTCTCTGCCTGCTGCCGGCCCGGGGCAGCGGCTCTGCCGCGGTCCTGGGCTGGGCTGGTGGTGTTTGTGGTGATGGGACTCCATGCAGCACCGCCGAGGCGGACACTGGAGCTGTGTGTCCGTCTGTCTGTCTGCGGTGAAGTACAGCCACTGTCCCGTTGCGGGGGCTGAAGTTTGAGCCCTCTCCTGGTGCCGGTTCAGGCTGAACCGTCACAAAAATGCCGCTGTGTATCTGAGGGTGGGACGGAGGTGCTGTCCCGCTGCTGCAGCTCCTCTGGGACGGTGTGAGGGGTGAAGAGCAGCATGGGGACGGTGAGCGGAGGGAGACGTGGGGCAGCCCTGGCCTGCGTGTGGCGTTGCTGGAGGGTGTCCCTAGAGGCTGCCTGTGGGGCTGTCGCCTCCCTGCTGGCTCGGCACCGGGGCACACCGTCCAGGACGGGCTCGGGAGGAGTCAAGCGCCGTCTCGCTTGCTGTTCGCTTCGCCCCTTTGGGCTGAGCTCAGCCCGGCTGCTCCCCAGGAGCCCCCTCCCGTGGGCCGTGACCCAGGGGGAACCCGAGCCCGTTGTCCCCGGCTGCTGCCGCACTGGGAAGCCCATAGCTCAGGAGGCAGACCCTGCCACGGCTGCCTCCTCGCCTCGGGAGCCATCCCGCTCCAGTGACTTTGGCAAGAGCCACGGAGCGTGTCGCCCGCTCTCCCCGGGAGCACGCGGCCTGGGCAGAGGCACTGTAGGGCGCGCTCGGACGTCGCCGAAGCCCGAGCACACGAGGCGTGCGTGTCAATATCCCAGCAGAGACACAAATGTGGATCTGCCCCTGTCCTTTGCCGTCCCCGCTGGCTTTTACCCCCTCCGGACTGGCACTGCCGCAGCTGCTGAGATGGAGGCGGCGTTGGCCGGGCCCCCAGCTGCCCCCGCCCGCAGCATCCCATGAGCAGAGCCGCGGGTCTCCACAGCGGCGGCTGCCTCATGGCACTGAACGGACTGTTTCTCTTGCAGGACCTGGAGAAGGAGAGCGACACGCCTCTGCAGCAGGTCTCCATCGAGGAGATCCTGGAGGAGCAGCGGGTGGAGCAGCAGGCCAAGCAGGAGTCGGAGAAGCTGAAAGTGCAGGCGCTGAAGGAGCGGGGCCTCTCCGTCCCGCGGGCAGACACCCTGGACGAGTACTAGATGTGCTGCCCCTCGGACCCTTCCTCAGCGGCAGAGTGTGGGGTGCTCCGTGATCCGCCCGCACGTGGGCAGATCTCTTTGGAAAGGCGGTTTTTATTTTCAGATTGTGTTTTCTGTGGCGCAGATAACTGTTAAAAAAAAAAAAGAGGGGAAAAAAAAAAAAAAAAAAAAAAAGCCGCCTTTAGTTTCTCCTTGCGGAGAAGGAGAGAAGGCGATCGGCTGCCCTTCGAGGGGGCCAGGTGGGCTGGGGAGCGCGAGCGTTTGTGTTCAGGAGGCAAATCGCTTGGTCCTCTGGGTTGGTTTGCTTTTTCCTCCTCACGTGACTCTGGGTGAGAGTTTTCCTTGACGTGTAAATAAATCCTTGATCTCAACAACGATGGTTTTGCCTGTTGTTCAGGACCTGATGGTTTCCCCTCCCTCGGAACGACGACCCTCATGCCAACGCTTGTCCCCGCGGGCGCTGCGCAGGGGGTAAACGGGACCGTTGGTCCTGCCACAGGGTGGGCTCGCTCTGAGGAAGAGCTTAAGGATGTGGCGAGATCCCTCCCTGCGGGACGGGTCGCAGGACCTGTGTCCCTCGGTACCCTGCCAAGGGCTGCTGACTCCCCCAGGTGGGCTGTGGCTGCTGCCCTGCAGCTGAGTCCACTAATTAATTACCTGCTGATGAAGAGGTGCCGCAGCTGGGTTGGTCCTGGGGCACCCCAGCCCCTCCAC